AGTGCTAGGATTACAGGCATGAGCCACCACGCCCGGCCCAAATCTCATTTTTCATTAAATTTTTTCATTAAACTAGAAAGGATCATTTTGTTTTTGAAGTTGTTACTCTATTTACGTAATAAGACACCATGGCCCCAAGGAAAAAAAATTTTTTTCCAGTGTGGCAGTCAATGTGTTAAGTTACAGGAGTCCTAGAGCTAAATTTCACATTGAAACAAATTGAGTGTATCATGAATTAGTCAAGGTCTAACACAGAAAAATACAGGAAATAGTAATAAATCTCATTAAAGCAGTCTTTGAGTAATCCAGTTAGGACTCTGTCCCTTGTAAACAATAAACTTTACATAGTCAACACCATGTAAAATATGTAAGTTTAGGAATTATTAAATATTTCATATATAATTATCAGGTAGAACATAAGAAACTACAACCAAAGAAGAAAAAATGTATATAAAATACACATTAAGTGACTTAGATGCTACATGGTAGAAATCTAGAGAATATAAACAGAGCGAATATGTCTATTATCTTTAAACTTAATACCTCTAAAAATAAAATTAATCTTCTATTCCAAATAGAGAACAGAAAAAAAATAAAGGAAAAAGGAAAAAAAATTAAGCATCTAAAGATTTAAATATTTGTTTTAAATATAACTTTATTGAGTTATAATTTATTCACAATAAAACACACATATTTAAAGTATATAATTTGTTGAATTTTCACAAATGTATATACTTGTGAAAGCATTATTACTACAATCAAGATAGTGAACACATCCCTCAGCAGTCAAAAAATTTTTTTTTTTTTTTCTTGAGACAGAGTCTCGTTCTGTCACCCAGGCTAGAGCGCCATGGCATCAGCCTAGCTCACAGCAACCTCAAACTCCAGGGCTCAAGCAATCCTTCTACCTCAGCCTCCCACGTAGCTGGGACTACAGGTGCGTGCCACCACACCCAGCTAATTTTTTGTTTCTAGTTGCCCACCTTTTTTTTTTCTATTTTTCAGTAGAGACAGGGTCTTGCCTCAGCCTCCCAGAATGCTAGGATTACATTTATGAGCCACTAAACTCCGCAGAAATTTTCTTGTACCTCTTCCTTATCTCTCCTCCCCAGGCAATAAGTAATCTGTTTTCTGTCACTATAAATTAGTTTCTATAGTTTACATATCATATAGTATGTATTCTTTTTTTGTCTCGCTTCTTTCACTCATAATTACTTTGAGATTCATCCATGCTGTTGTTTTTATTAGTAGTTTATTGCCTTTTATTACAGAGTAGTATTCCACTGTGTGAATATACCACAATGTGTTATTCATTCATCTATATTAATAGACATTTGGGTCATTTCCAGTTTGAAGCTATTATGAATAAAGCTGCCATGAACACCCATGGATAAGCCTTTATGGACAAAGGCTTTCATTTATCTTGGGTAAATTCCTAGAATGGAAAGATTGGATTATCTAGTAGGTATAAATAGTTCTAAAAACTGCCAAATAGTTTTCTAAAGTGAATGTACCATTTTACATTCCCTAGGGAAAAAAATTAATGACAAAATAAGAAAAACACATTTTACATTCCCACCAAGGGGTATATGAGAGGTCCAATTGTCCCATATCCTTTTCAACATTTTATTAGGTCAGTCTTTTTAATTTAGACATTATAAATGGTATGCAGGGATATCAAACTGTGGTTTTAATTTGCATTTTTCTAATGACTAATGATGTTGAATATCCTGTCAGGTACTTACTTTCTATCTATATATCTTCTTTGGTGGCGTTTCTGTTCGTGTCTTTTGTCCCATTTTTTAACTGAGTTGTTTGTCTTCTTAGTATTGAGTTTTGAGAGTTCTTTATGTATTCTGGAAACAAGTCATATCAGGCATATGCTTTGCAAATATTTCTCCCAATATGTGACTTGTCCTTTTATTCTCTAACAGTGTCTATTGAAAAGAAGAAGTTTTT